ATTGATCCTTCCATGAGTCGCATAAATTGGTCATCTACGGGAAGCCGTAAAAAGCTTAGATTGGATTTGAGCCTTCATTTGTGAATTTTTGTGTCTTTTGGTTTTATTATTATGTTTTGTTATTTCTTATTTTTGTTTCAGTGTGTTTCAGGTTTTGTCAGTGTTCGTTATTTCAGGTGATATCTTTTATACTCTATCTTTCTACCTTAGAACATTGAGGACAATGTCTCGTTTTGGTTGGGGGGAGAGGGTAGTAGTTGATAAAAAAAAAAATTGTTTTTCATTTCATAAAGCATGTGCATAATTGTTGTTACTAGGATGGCAGAGTAAAGGAGTTCTTTTGTTAAAGTGACTCTTGAGACGCATCTTAGTAACCATTCTTAACAAGGTCTATTATAATACTTCCTGAAATATTCAGGTTTACAAACTCTCGTATTGTTACCACTTAATTCTGCTCATATACTTATTTAACATGTATTCTTAAACCTTAATTTACACACACACACTTTAACATATGATTGTGGGTTGCATATTGGATTATTACATTATTTATGTTCTTTTGTTAAAGGTAACAACTAAGGGAAAGGGATTGTATATAATTAAAAAGAAAAAAAAAAAAAAAAAAAAAAAAAAAAAAAAAAAAAAAAAAAAAAAAAAAAAAAAAAAAGAAAAAAAAAATGATGATAATAAAAATGTAGATAAGTTTGGTTTCGTAGCCTCCCTAACCTAAGCAATTAAGCCCGAAGGGGTGTTTTAACACCTAATACCCTAAAGTCAACTGACTTGGGAGCTATTGGCCCAACGCTTGTTACATGGGTTGAGGAGAAAAGCTTAAAGGAATCAAACATTGCACTATCTACATATCAGTATCTGCGACCCGAGTTACTAAGCTCGTAGGGGTGTCTTAACACCTAATGCCCTAATACCAACTGGTCTGGGAGTCATTAGCTGAAAGCTCATTACATGGGTTAAAGATGCATGATATTTTTAAATTATATGTATATACATTAAAAAAAAAAGACAAAAATAATAATCCCAACCCAAGGAAGTTAACCTTAAACATTAGAACAAAAATTTTGTTTTCTTCCAAGAAAAGCCCCATAATTATGTGTTGATACATTGAGCACAAAAGAAAGGTTTATTAATATCTTGTTAAGTGGTATTGAGCAGATATATAAATTTAATGAGAGTTTGTTTATCTGGATAGATTAATGGAAGTTAAATGATGAATACCTTGCTTTGTGAAATTTGCAAATTTGTTTTCTATTTTAACGCTTTGATTACTAGGGACTAGTAATAAGCTGGTTGGGGGGTGTGATTAGTACTTAAAAGTGCATTTTTATCATGGTTTTATATCATCATTTTGCACTTGAAGTATCAATAACTCCTTAACTAAAATATGTTTTATAATAATGTATCTAATAATATAAGATACCTATAATTTATGGTAAATGTCTATTTTTAATGCAGGCCTATCACATAAATGAAAGGATTGATTGATGACTTGAAGAACTTAAATTGCAAGGATAAAGAGATGGCCAAACTTAGAAAAGAGATGTCGGTGCAATCCAAACCGGAACACTGTTCGGTAATTGGGTCATATCTGGAGCTACAGATCTCAGATTTAGGTCCAATTTATATGGATGGAAAGGTAAGACATAGGCCTACAACTTTCATATGGAGCCCAAGATCTAAAAAGGCCATTATCAAGTCCAAATTGTAGCAACAACAAAGAAGCCCGAATCTGTCTTCCAGCCCGAGCACTATTCGGTATTTTGGCCATATCTGGAGTTCTAGAAGTCCAAATGAGCTGAAATTTTTACACAAGAAAGCTGAGACAATTGCCTACAACTTTCATGTTTACAACTGGCTCCAATTTTGACGTTATCAATGACGTTTTGGGCAGACAAGAGAAGATAAGGATTGTCACCAAGTCAAAAGTTGGTCACCCACTTATCAATTAGTCATCAAATCAATAGTTCCCATTTTTGGCCTATAAAAGGAGGCATTTGCCATGCATTTAGGCATCTTGATTTCCAGATCAAGATCATGCTCTTCCTTTCTCTCTTTGTATTTTTTATGCTTTGTTTTCATTAATATTAAGTTTATGCCTTTCATTTCCTTTCCTTTACTTAGTTAACTTTTATGTTCTTATTTTGTTTATCTATTTTGCTTTCTTTCATTATGTCTAGCTAAGTTAATTATGTCAAGGTGAAAAGGTTACACTAATGGTGTAAGAATAAGTATAATGTAAACTTAATATGGACTTTAATGTTTGATACTAACATGTTTTATATTTGCTATCTTGTTCACTCTTTAATACTTTGCTTGTTAAATGACTAATCTTGATTTATGTTGTATAACACTTGGTACAACAAATGCTTGTCATTAATCAATCCTTTCATTTATGTGATAGGTCTGCATTTAAAATGAACATTTACCATAAATTAAAGGTATCTTATATTATTAGATATATTATTATAAAACATGCTTTAGTTAAGGAGTTATTGATACTTTAAGTGCAAAATGATGATATAAAACCTTGATAAAATTGCACTTTTAAGTACTAATTATTTATCTAGTGTTTTTCCTATGTTTTATATATAAAATGCCTTGATATTCTTTATTTTATGTTTTGAAGGTATTTTTGGATGAAAGATGCAAAAATAAGTAAATTGGAGGTAATTAGCAAATCTGACCTTTAATAATTTGTTGTGCACAACGTAAGTTCTGAAGGGTTAAATAAAGTGATTCTAGTGGCATTAAAAAGCTAACATCCATACCTTTCTAGAAATCTAGAGCATGGAAATCGAAGCTTTAAATATTGTAATCTGGTTGACCTTCGACCATTCCAACTTGCATATCTTGAGCTATGGAAGTTCAATTGATGAAAACTTAATTTTGTTGGATTCCTTATTCAAAGACCTATACACTCACCAAATTTCAGCAAAAAATGATGTCATATGAGGAAGGTATGATTTTTCAAAGATGATAATTGAATTTTACCATCAAACAGGTTTTGTAAAGAAACGAGTTCAAATTATATTCTAAAGCATCTAAACCAACATTCAAGTTTTTATTTTAGCAATTTAGCTCCTCTAAGTGGAAGTTTGAAGATTTCATGTAAGACTGTTTCTCATTTTTAGAAAAATAGTTATTAAAGTTCTTAAATGTAAACTGTCGACTTAAGGGTGTAAAATAGAAACCAAGGTTTTCTAGGATATAAAAAGAATGAGAGGAGAGAAGGGAGGAGAGCCAGCCAAGAGAGAAAATGCCCCTTTCCTTCAAGAAACCTGGAATCATGCATTCCTCGTTCTTTTTGATTAGTTGTTCAAAAAAAATGCTAGGTTAAATTATTTTTCTTAGTTGCAAGGACACAGAAACCTTAGGATTTCAATAATTGTGAGATTTATTTTACCTCTTCTTTTCAGTTTATATGATGAATGAATATATTTGTTTTCCTTTGTTCATTTCTTAGGATTGTTTATTTTAATTGTTAGAGCGGACTCTAAATTATTATTATAAACAATCCATTACTAGGTTTACTATCAAAACCAGAGTTGTGATATATAAACTTCTAAAGCAACCAAGTTTAATAATTATAATGGATCTTCGTTATTAGTATTAGATAAAACATTCAATCAAATCAAATATGTACTGCAAATAGTTATGTTTTTTCTATTAATTAACTTATCTAGTTCTCAAGGCTGCAATTGAATTAAATTACTAGTGCAGATATAATGGTTGTTTGATGGTTAAAATTAGTTATATAGTGATTCTGTTAACTAATCAACATAAAAAAAAAAAATATTCAGAGTATAAATTGACATTTCGTTTCCATGATCAGTTATGTTTTCTGTAGGTGGATGTTTACTTGAAATTAAGATTTGCTCTTGATAATTTTCAGATTTTATTTACTTTCGCTTAATAGTTTTATATTTTCTTTTGCTTTAGCCTAGATAACTTTCAAACCCCCTCAAATTATATATCATATAGTATAAAAATCTGAATTAGACCTGTCTTATGGGATTGACCATTTGCTTGTTCTATACTATATTATATGTTATGTTTTAAGTTATAGTAATTAATTTGTGTGACTGTAACAAAAAAGCATCTATTAATCTCTCGATGATTATATATATATATATATATATATATATATATATATAAGCATCTATAAATAAATCTGAAATTTTTATCTAGATAAGCTTAAATAAAAAACTTGGAAGGGTTTGATATGAAAAATATGTTTGAAATATTTTGTTTTTAAAAATATTTAGACTATTTTTTGGAAAATTATTAAAAAGATAAAAAAAATTTTCTGATAAAATAATCATTTTTATTTATGATTTGTTTTTAACAAGCTATTTACTTAAATGATCCCTCCATTTATAACATGATTAATAACTATTAGTAAATGAAAATGATTAAAGAATCTTCATTTTATAAATACAATAAAAAATAAAAAAATAAATTTATAATTATAATAAAAAACTTAAAAATAAAGAAAAACAAAATAACCATATTTTTTATTTTAATAAGTGAAATTAAAAAAATGTCTACATTTAATAGAAAAATTAAAATCACTAAAAAATAATCTCATCTGGATAAATTTTTGGAAATATTCTTGTTATATGTATTTTATTTTATATAAAATAAGAAGATTTTTAATCAATTCGCTTAGCTTATTGATTCTGTATAAAATTAAATGTACAATGAAACATTGTATCAATTATGTTTTTTGAGGTTTTTATGTCTAACATTAACATTAGAATTAAGTAGAAGAAAGATTTCTTTTGTCAATATCTTAAATAAATAAATATAAAAGGAAATCTAAATGGAAGCTCATGCCAATAAATAAATAAATAAATATTTTATTTTATAGAGGTACGAATTGAATGATACGAAGATTTGAATCGAGATATTTGGAATATCAAATATACTACGAGGAGTAGCCCTCGTAATCAATCATGTGACTAATGAAAGTGTTAATTAATGAGATGGAGGACAACCAACGGTAAGAAATACGGAAACACGAAACACGAAACACGAAACCTTCCAGATCCAATCTATTAAACAAGTCAACTACTCGGTCTCGCTCTCTCTCTCAATCCTCAAAACCTTTCTTCCTTCGCAAACACACTTCATTCACACTTGTCAGTTGTCACCATAACTAACAGCTGCATATTTCTCTGCTGACCAGAAAACACACAAACACTCTCTTTTAAATTACCGAACCACCCCTCCCCCCTTTCCTTTTTAGAACTCTCCCTCCCCATGGACAACATTAACTCTCGCTCTGAGGTTTCCGACGGCGGCGCTAGGTACAAGCTGATTTCGCCGGCCAAGCTTCCGATCTCGAGGTCGGCTTGCACCATGATCTCTCCTGGACTCAGCTCGACCTCGTTTCTTGAGTCTCCAGTTCTTCTCTCGAATGTTAAGGTTAGTGGTTTTAGTATATATACTTTTTTGGATCGGAGTTGATGGATTTTTCTGTTTGGTTGGAGTTGTTTAAGGATGTGGCTGGTTGGGAGGGGAGATAAGTAGATAGCCAACTGAACTGGAAGACTTGATAATTGAAGTGACCAAACAGACCATTATTAAAATAAAAATCTTTGTTTTGTCGCATTCACCAAGGTAATAATCGAAGTAGATTTGTTGCTGTTATATATCTACACACAAAAAAAAGAAAAAAAACACCCACATTTGATAATAATGATAAAACAGTGTTTTCTACTATTTCATCTCACCAGCTATCAAAAGAACGGTGCTCTTTACAGCTTCGTGTCGTTGAGTTCGAGAAGTGGAGAATTGACTTTAAAAAACAAGATGCTCTTACTTTCATTTTTTATTTTCTATAAAAGAATAAAAATGAAATGCCAGTTACTATATTTGTCTCGTTTCGTGTTAATTTAATTTATATGATTCGGGAGTGCTTATGTCGTAGCCTGAAGTTATAGATTCTGATGCTTTATGAATTTGGTACCATGTGTCGTGTGGAATTTGTCTGGAGAATATTACTTTTTCATTTTTAATTACTATTAGCCTAAGCTTCCCCTTTTTATGTTCTCTTTTCTTTTAGATTTTTTTTTTCCTCTTAGATGCCTGTGTTGTGTTCTCACATAATGAGTCTTTGCCATGCTTCTTCTTGTCTATGTTCTATTGGTCTTGTTGGGTTTACAGATATGACTGCAAAGAAGCTTGAAGGTATATGTGAATCAGACAAGTGAGAATAAACTTGATTATCCATAGAGAGAACAAACTTGGTTGCCCATCATGACTCCATGACCATATATAGAGCTGAAGCTTAAATGTGATAGACAGCATATGTTGAGTTCAAGCATGAGAAATTGGGTTTGCGGCTTTGTTCAGTTGGGTATGTAGTTTTCCACATTTGAAGTACTGGGCCAAATGGAAATATTTGAAAATTCATGTCTCTCTTACTGGTTTCAATATATATTTATTCCCTCTTTTTATATTTTCTGAATTTCCTTACGCTTGTAACCTGGCAATGATCGGCTAGTTCACGTCACTTTTTTAGATGCACTGATCTTTCTATGTATTGATGCTGATAAGAAAGATCTAAGAGCTTCACAGATTTGGTGCCAGACTCCAGACAGTGGCATAATAGTTATCAGTTGCGCCATTGATGAGGGCCTTAGGACATTCAGGGATTATGAAACTTGTCTTTTATCTTGATTTTGTATTCTTTTAAGTCTTGTTTACTTGATCTGCTTGTACTTTGCCTTAGAAATATCTTTAGGCTGATTCCGATCTTATTGACTTCACAGGCAGAGCCTTCCCCCACTACTGGCACATTTACTAATCCTCAAACTGTGCTTGGTTCTCTTAGCTCCACGTCATATTCAGCTATTACTGTTTCCTCCACCACCTTTGGAGAAAGAAAATCCAACCGCTTTGAGTTTAGACCACATGCTAGGTCAGATATGGTAAGATCCCAAAGAAATTTCAGGCTCTCATAAAATGCGTGGCGACTTTAGGTACTTAATGTTATGTAATTTTTTTGGAATTAAATTGCTTGATAATTACTCCAATAATTATATGGTGCTTCTATACCCATACTCATGTTTAAATAACAGCTCCAATAATTCCTCACATCACTCAGTGTCTTCTACTTTTTAACGAGTTTAACTTTACGAGAGCTTCTAAACCTAAAACCTGACCTATATTGACTAGCTTGTGGTTTCTCAACAAAATTGAAAATTAACTGCCAATGAGCCATTGGTTGTATTCATTCTCATTCTGAACAATATTTGCAGAAGGATAAAATGAAGACTTAGATGATGAGGCATGTTTTTTTACATGACCTTCCTGTTTTCCCTTATCTGGAATTACTAAATGGTCATAAACTCATTTCAATTCCTGATATCTACAAGTAGCCTTGCTGGTTTAGGGGCATTGTTTGCCTAACATGTTTCATTTATTTCAAGGTTTCTGCAGATATGAACCATCAGAGAAGTGCACAATGTGTTAAAGTCCAAAGCCAATGCCAGTCTCAATCATTTGTATCATCACCCTCAATAAAAGGTGAGATGGCAGTCTGCACAAATGAGTTGACTCTATCAACACCACTTCACATGGTTACTTCAGGTTCTAGTGTTCCTGCTGCAGCTGATTTAGATGAATTACTTCAGTTTCTAGTGTTCATGCTGAAGTTGATTTAGATGAACTAAACCAAATGGGGCTCTCTAGCAGTGGGCTTCGCGCATTACAGTCTGATAATAAAACAGGAAGTGCACCTACAGTGTCATCTGATGATGGATATAGCTGGAGAAAATATGGACAGAAACACGTTAAAGGAAGTGAGTTCCCACGCAGCTATTACAAATGCACGCATCCTAACTGTGAAGTGAAAAAGTTATTTGAGTCCTCTCATGATGGACAAATAACAGAGATTATTTACAAGGGTACACACGATCATCCTAAACCTCAGCCAAGCCGCCGATATGCCTCTGGCTCTTGTTTGTTCATGCAGGAAGAAAGATTTGACAAGTTTTCTTCTCTACCCATTCAAGATGGTATGGATGGAAACTTCCTTGGGAATTCAGTTTGCTATCTACTTTCCATATGTACTAACCAATGTTCCTTCACTCCTTTCATTTTCTCTTTCAATCACTTACATTGCAGACAAGTCACCTGGTGCATATGGACAGGTGTCTCATGCTATCGAACAAGATGGTGCCCCTGAACTGTCTCCTGGCACAACAAATGATGATACTGGAGAGTGTGCTGAGGATGACAAAGATCCCGTCTCAAAAAGAAGGTATCATCAGTTCATAACACCATTTAAGTTACTCATAAAATACATTAACCATAACATGGTCTCATAAAACACCATTTGAGCAGGAGGTTGGATGCTGGAGGTTTTGATGTTGCTCCAGTGATCAAACCTATTCGAGAACCACGTGTTGTTGTGCAAACTCTGAGCGAGGTTGATATACTGGATGATGGGTATAGGTGGCGCAAATATGGCCAGAAAGTGGTGAGAGGAAATCCTAATCCAAGGTATGTTTTTTGTGTTGATGATGAGTTAAATAGTTTCTGCTTTTTCACTGTTATGGTCCATTCTATCATGTTGTAACTCTTTTCTTCAGTAATTTATTGAATTTCCGGGGAATGTCCTGTGCATTGCCATCTCATGATATGGCTAATGGATAAGGTGATAGAATGGGCAGATATCATCTCTTAAATTGATTAATGCCATGTTTTTCTGACTAGGGGTTTGACATGAAATCATTGTGATTCATAATTTAGCTACTTAGATAAATATGAATGTGAAACCATCGTACAATATGCACATTGTCGTGGGACAATGGGTTGGATTATATTTCAACAATAGGAGATAATTCCTACTTGGATTGTTTCTTTAGCATTGCTATTGTAGCATGATAAAATTTTTATAAATTTGAAGTTGGAACAAGATAGCTGAGGTTAGGGTTCATAAGAAACATCTATAATCCCCTAGATCCCTGTGGAAGAAGGGTTCGTAGTGATATTCCATCAGTAAAACTAAACTTGTAAGGAAATACCTCAAAAACTCATTAATCATATGATCCTATATAATTAACCCTAGTATTATAAATAAAATAAATTGTAAAGAAAGCTCTTGCATTACTGTCCTTGGGCTGGAAGAAACCTATTCTTGAGTTAAAACGCTTCTTGCCACAATCTTAAGGATGTCCAATTAAGAGTCTTTATCCCACCTTTTCTTTCTTTGCTTCAACTGTATAACACGTATAGATATTAGAATTAGTTCCTTCATGATAATGCTTGCAGAACAAACATCTAGATGCAAGTTATATTTCTCACATTGATTTCTAGAGTAATGAATTGCAAACCTTAAAACATGCTTCAACATGTGTTTTTGTACAAATAAATAACCTTTGCACAATTCTTTTGCCTTTGGGATAATATCATGCATGTAATCGAAAGGATCTGCATGGCCTTGCTAGACAAATTTCTTTTGTTGAGCAACCAACTATCGTTACTGGCTTTGTACAACTCTCCTATTCTCTTTGCACTCAACTACTAGCTTTTCATTGAGGGCATCATTTTTAGCATCATCTTTATCATTAATGTTTTTGTTGTTGCCATAATTATTCTCATAATCATTGTCGTAATAAACATCATGGATTGGTGGAGAATCCCAATCCACATATGCTCCTTTCCAATGAACGTTTCATCCTTATGACTACCTTGTGGAAACTCCACTTGGGCTTCCACTAGTTCCTGTTGCTTCAAAACATCAATAGTGCACATCAAATGTTCAATTATACCCACTTATCTCAACCAAGATTGTTTGCCAATCTTGATTTCTCCATTTACAACCTCCACATCCCGACATGGTCATAAGGATTGAACCCAACACAATTGGGAGGATCTTTTCAGTCTGCCATTTGACTTAGTGTGGGAAGGGGAAAGCATGAGAAAACATAAATTGCAGCAGAATAATGACTAGAATGAAGATGTAATTGAAATTGGAACAAGATAATTGAGTTTAGGGTTCATAAGAAACCTCTAGAATTTGAATAGAGTGATAAAATAACAATGAACAACTATAAAATAACCCTAGCAGCCTATTTATATTAGTTTAAGTACTACATCCTTGTAGGAAAAGGATTCCTAGTCTTAGTCCCCAAATAAACTACTTATCTTCAAATAAACACTTTAAAAAGTCACATGCTGATCACATTAACCTGGATTAATTAAGTAGCTCTAATATCAGAAGTAAAATAACATAAATTGTAAAGAAAGCTCCTGCATCAGATAATTCTTTAAACTTCAGTAAAAGGTTGGGAAAATGAAGATCTTTTAGTATGTTTTTGCAAGTGAATCTGTGTGTCTAGAAATTGCAGACATTCAGCGAAATGCAGAAGAAGGTTGTGAAGACTTTTTAAGAAGTCCTCCTTCCCTCTCAATATCTTAAAGATAAAAGGAGTCCCCCGTCTCCATAGAATGAAAGTATGTGGGATGATGTGGGGAAAATATACGCTATGAAGGCAAAACCTACTGGCAAAATGCTTCATTTCTTAAAATATGATTGGACTGGAATATTTAATGGTTAGTAATTATAACGTCCAATACGCACACCCCGATTCTTGGAAACTTTGTCGGTGTAGGGATTTAATGCTGATTTTTCATTTCTTATTATTCGTTGCCAGAATCCATTGCTTTTGATCAAAATCTTTTGTCAAGGTTGCCATTAGAGGGCCTTTTCCTCGTTCCAAAAGTACTACAGGCTAATAATAGGAATTCTTATGGATGTGAAACACTATGCTTGATATTGTGTTAATCAATATTCCGGAGAAACTTGTAAGTTTGCAGTGGAGGCCTGAAGATTGCAATTATAATAACCATAAAGAACAATCTCTAGGAACTTCTACCATAGTACCACGTCAATAACAGGAACAATAGTGATGCTCGGAATACACACACATGCAGTGATAGCTGATTTTTTTAATTTTATTTGTAATTCTTTGCTTTAACTTACCTTTGTTTTCTAGCTAAATTGTCAATTTTAATTCTTAAAACAAGATTTCCACTCTTTCGCCATTTCGTTGTTT